TTAAAGAAAATTAAAAAAGTTTTCTACAAATTAGATTTGACAAAAAAATAGGTCTGTCACAAAAACTCATTTTTTACAAAACCTTGTGAAAAAGTTTTGCACAAATTGGGTTTGACCAAAAAAAACAAAAATTAGTTTGTCTCAAAAATTGAGCAATTTTACCAAATTTGTCTACAAATTCGCAATCCTCGTATCATTTCACGTTAAAAACACTTCTTTTCCTTTAATTTTCTGATGCAATTTAAAAAAATTGGAAAAGTGACGCCCAAATTAAGTTTCACTTGGAAAAACCGATCAAAAATCTCAAAAACTAATCATTCATGCATTAAAATTTTAAGCACAGATTTGTCGTTTTTGTGACATTTTGCATTAGAAACAGTTGTTTTTTTATGCAATTTTGAAGAAAATTAAAAAAGTTTTGCTCAAAATGGGTTTCACAAAAAAAAATCGGTTTCTACCTCAAAAACTGATCAATTTTTTTTAAATACGAGACTACATTCGTAATTTTAAGCTCAGATTTGTCGTTTTTGTGACATTTTGCATTAAAAACACTTATTTTTCTTTGTTCTTCTTGGTGCAATTTTGAAGAAAATTTAAACAGTTTTGCACAAATTAGGTTAGACAAAAAAAAACGGTCTACACCCCAAAAACTTTTGTTTACAAAATCTGAATACATATTTGTAATCCTAGTATCATCTTACGTTAGAAACACTTCTTTTTCTATGATTTTCTTATGCAATTTGTAAGAAAATTGGAAAGCTTTTGTTCAAATTAGTTTTGACAAAAAAATCCGTCTATTTCTCAAAAATGCAAAAAAGAAGAAAATAAAATAAAAAAGCTTAAAAAAGTTATAGGAAGTTTTGCTCTTGCATTATTTTATAAAAGATGATTGTTTTTTGTTTTTATTTTTTTGTGTTTAGGTTTCATATTATATACATAAGTGTAATGTAAACACATGAGTGTTTTCATGCTAATTATTAAAAAAAAATATACAAAAAACAATTGCCGCTTATAATAAGACTGATTGATTATTATAAAAAAAATTCTTGTAAACAAAAATGTCAGTTGTCATTTAAAGAAATTAAAAATGACGTCGCAACTCAAGACGTCATCAATGTCACTATAATTTCAAAATATAGCATTTAAAAAAATAAAATCGACCTGTCCGAGAATTTTTTTGAAAAAACAGCCCCACTAAAAATTTTGGGCGTCCTGCTTAAAAATTGTTTATAGCTACCGGCCTGAAACCCACCTTTGTGGCCTTATCGTTGATGAGTTTGATCAAATCCTCGACTTTGGTCCCCCCGACATTCTCCTTGATCAAAGTCCCCACAGCATGGGCTAGCATTTCATCCAACATGTCCGAAATAGCAGAATCGTTAATTCCCGTCGATTTGATACAGTTAACTAACTGCGTAATTCCGTTATACCGCTCAGATTTCGCCAACTGTTTCCCAGCTAAACAATAAACCTTGATCGGTCTTAATTTAAAATCCTCAATGATCTTTGTGGCTAAATTAAACCCGTCCTCGACCGCTTCCCCACTAATTATAGCCAACACGGCCAAATTGATTTTTTCCAAAGTCGAGCCGAAGAGAGTCGGAATGGGCTCATCCTTGGCCAAAATCAAGTCGCGAGTGTTGACTCCTGACGCCTCACGCTCGGCCAAAAATTTCATCACTTCCACTTGTCTTTTGACGGTGTTTATGTGTCGATTGACGTCTTTGGTCTCGATTTTCATGACCAAATCGGAATTGGTGAGGAGTCGTTCCTCGAAGCTGTCTTTGCTGGTCACTGACGTCACCTCCACCCATTGCTCCTGCTCCAGAATCTGCCTCAGGTGCTCCTCCCCCTTGTGCAAAAACCCCACATTGTTCGCCAACTCGGTGAAGGTTTTGACGCCGTCTTGGTAAAATCGGATGCAGGTCATGGAGGCGCGCACATAGTCGCCGATGTAGAGTTGCAATTGGTACAAACTGTTCAATAATTGCTGTTTCTCCAAGTGGCGACACAAATTCTTCAAGTGGTCTTTCCACAATTCCAGCGAGGAGTCGATCCGTGACATGTGTTCTTGCAAAATTGCGACCATTCCGTCCTTGAGACACTTCATGTAGACCTCGATGAAGGTTTCGCTCGGTAGATGGCACTCGAGGATGTAGATGAGGGCAGTGTGGATCTCCCCGTGTCTGATGTAGAACTCCAGGAGCGATAAATGCGTCCCGTATTTCCCCAAATAGTAGATACACTCGTCGTAGAAAATCGGGTCTATAGTCGGCCGACTTGTGCAACAATTGAATTTTTTACTCCCGGTTAGGGAGTAGTTCCCCGAAGCGATTTCCTTCAGGTTTTTCACCCGATTTACGATGCTTAAAGCCGTGTCAATGTGGACGGTGTATGGTAGTTGGTTGAGACTTGTCACCGAGCCGGAGATTTTCACACTTTGGGCCTTTTCGACTACTTTCGGGTTTATTGTTCGAGTTTTGGTTTCCAGAATTTGGATGATTTCGTACAAGAGGGGCGGATCTTTGAGGGGTTTACTCTCCGAAGTGAAGCTACCACTGGACACTCTTGAACTTATCCTCGATCGAGGGAAAGTCAAACTGTCTAGGCTAGAATTGAGTTCGGAAAGTCGGCTCAAATTTGAGGATGTTTCGTATTGGCTGTTTTTGTCAAGACATCTTTGGAATTTTTCGCGGGCGAGGAGGAGACTACCTGCCTTGAGGCAACTTTTCCCCCAGGCGGCGAAAACCCCTAAAATTTTTTTCAATCAATAATAAATTTATCAGACAAGTGTAAAAATTATTGTTTTATTGCACCAATAAATTATTGCTATTATTAAAAAATAATGAAAAAAGGAAAGGTGGGCAGCTTTTTTTCGTGTTATATTTTACGTTAAAAACACTTTGATTTTCTTATGCAATTTTGAAGAAAATTTTAAAAAAATTTCGAAAAATTAGGTTTGACAAAAAATTGGTCTAATCTCAAAAATTGAACATTTTTTATAAAATCTTAGGCAATTTTTAAGGAAAATTAGAAAGATTTTGCAGAAACTTGGATTGACAAAAATAATAAAAATTGGTCTATATCTCAAAAACTGAACATTTTTTACAAAATTTTATGCAATTGTTAAGAAAATTAGAAAAGTTTTCACAAACTTGTATTGTCAAAAAAATAAATAAATTGGTCTATCTCAAAAATTGATCAATTTTACAAAATCTGATTACAAATTCGCAATCCAAGCGTCAATTTACGTTAAAAGCATTTTTTTGCTTTTATTTTCTTATGCAGTTTTTAAGAAAATTGAAAAAGTAGAAAAACCGATTAAAACATTTACATTAGAAACACGTATTT